TTTATAACAACCACCACGTTTATTATATATATATATATATATATAATATTTATATTAAAATTCGATCCATTTAAATTTATAAGGTACGAGACAATAAGGCAACCAATTTTTTCATTTTAAGAGTTCAAACATATCCCACAACAATTTATATTAATATCATGTAATCATCTCACACATATATAATTCTTTATTTTATTGGTGTCAAATATTTTATTGGAGTCCGATTAATTTGTGTCACATAGAGTCTCATTAAGAAACAAGTGTTGAAATTTTTCATATTTAGACTTTGGTTAAGAGAGAAACAATACATTTACTGCACCACATTCTTTGATAATGCATATATAACTCTTATTTATTTCCGTTAACAAACTATTTCAAATGTATTCTTAATGTTAATACTATACAAGTAGATTATTTTCATGGAGTACTTGTTATCTAATAATTCTATCGACTAACAATTGAGCATATTGAAAAATTATTATCATTTTTGTATATGATGCAAAAAAGTTTGTGGTCTATTTTTTATCATAGATTTTGTTATGAAAAAAAATGAAAAAGTTAGATATAATTATATTAGATATCCGTGACTCAATTCTACCAAACTATTATTAAAAATATGTAACTATTTAGAATAATTATATAGTTACATCATCAATTAGATCACTAAAACATTAACTAATCACATTTTAGAATAGAGTCATACAAATCTTATTTTTTTGTTACTAAGTAGCCAAGTCCAAGTCAAATAATGGAACTATATATGTTGAAAAATACAAAATGAGCTTTAATATAGGATTTTGTAAGGACTACGTCTTTTCCATACTAAGAGAAGCAACATTAATTAGGTTGGAAAAGATAAATCAAGAAAAATAGTACTCCTTTTATCATATATGAATCGTCCATTTTTCCTTTACATATCCCTTATGAAATCATAAATAAGAAAGACGATCTTACTAATTTATCTTTTAAAAACTTTTTTCGAACACTATAAATTTGTTTATAGGGTTGTATATCGATTGGCTCAGTTTTGGAGTTTATCGGTTATCGGTTTGTAGACATGTTAAACCGTTAACAACCATTAAGATATTGGCTTATCGGTTATTGATCGTTATTGACTTAACCGTTAAGAATAATCTAGGGTTTCATCCTTAGTTTTGATAATTCTTGAGATGAATTTCGTTAATGAATTCTGAATTCTATTTCCTTATTATTGAGTTGCTATATCTTGCATTGAGATTCTTGAGTTGATTGTTAATGTCTATTTTTCAGCATGAACCCTATTGTTGAGTTATAATGGAGCATTTATTGAGTTATTATTGAGAATTCTTTTAAACCAAACAATGATCTTAAACTAATTTTCTGAGAAAACAAAGATGAGTTTTGAGAAGGATTTTATACATGATTGAGAAAGAGGATATGGGAACTAAGTATACCCAAATGTATCATTTGATTCATATTTACATTGAGTAGAGAGAAACTTTGATTTCAAAAACGAGTTTATGAGTTCAGAGAAATTTCAGAGCAGTTACCTCTTTTAAGAGGTTATTTTGAGTAATTACCTCAAAACAGAGAAAGAGTAGGTTTTATACATTTGAAGAAGAGTATATTATTGGGAGTAGTATTGAGCATCGATATCGGATGAGTTAAACAACTCAAAATCTTCATAAACCATGTCTGCCAACATGGATAAATGATCATACTTTTTAGATGAATCTTTATTGCTAATTAGTAGATCCACTTAGTCGAGAGGTTCTATACCCCGACATGATATAGGACATTTCTGGTAGCAGGGGCAAGAAGTTGTATCATCACCTAGCTCATAATGATGGTTGTCGGTTAGAGAATCTTTCAAATAGAGTTAAAGTGTATTTTTACTATATCACTTATTATGTTGAGTTTCAGAGATGAGTAAGTACTTGTAAAGTTTTAAATGATTTACTTCCTATATTTCTTTACATTCAGTTTGAGTATATCTTTGTCTATTACAGTCTTTTCTTTCAACTATTTTACTTTGGCTATATTACATACTCGTACATTCAATATACTGATGGTCATTCGACATGCATCTTTCTATGATCCAGATATCGATATTCAGGATCATCAACAGACGCTCCGTTAAGATCACTTTGCACTTCTTGCTAGTTTTGGTGAGCCTTCCTTGCATTCTAGAGGACTCCACTCTTGTCTCTCAATTTAGTAGTTTTGAGGTGTAGTGGGTCTTGTCCCGACATTCATGTTGAACTATAGAGGCTTCATAGATAGTTAGTGTTGAGTTTCAATCAATATTTCCATTGAACTATTTTGACAAACTATCATTATTTTCAGATTGTTTCGAGTATACTATTTTGAGATAGCTTGAGTTTTGAGAAGTTTTGAGACTTTCAAATTTAAATTTTGGTTACAGATTAAATTTGCTTGAGTTAGTCTTCCGCTAAGTAGTCAGCCAGACCAAAGGTTCGCTTGAGAATCAGCAATGGTTCTCAAGTGTCGGCCACATCCATGGTATAAATTCGGAGCGTGACAAAAAACATGACAATCATTTTTTGAGACGAAAGGAGTATATTCCTCCGTCGGATAATAGTTGTATAAATTACTTGTCAATTTACAATATTAAGAGAAAATTAATTATTATTTTTCCTTTTTACTTTTTCAGATAATTCTTCTTGAAAATTGAACAAATTTGTAAAGTTTTAAAAAATTCAAAGATAAATTAGTAAATTTATTTTTCTTATTTATAATTTTTTAAAAGACATATAAAAGAAAAGTACTAGACGACTAGTATGAAAATGGAAAAAGTAACTAGATCTAGTTGACTATAGGTTTTATATGGCCCCAAAAATATATAATTAGGGAGGGGGGGGGGGGGGGGGGGGAAAAAAAAAAAGAGGGGGGAGGGAGGGTGTAACACCCAAAAAATTTCTAAGCTAAAACCCGTATCATTCTATAACACCTCGCAACTCTACTCTTAAAATTTGAATCGCTCTTGTAACGCCAAAAAAAAGGGGGGGGGGGGGGGGGGGGGGGGGGGGGGGAGAGAGAGAATAAAAGAATAAATTGTGGGTTTTTAATTTAAGGAGTAAGTAGATTATTTAATGCTCTCTTTAATATGGAACTGTAAAGAAAACTTCCAACTATTTCATAAGAACCATACAAACTCTTGGTCCAGCTACTTCCAACAAATTAAAAATTCAAATGGTGTCAATTTTACATTATTATTTTTTGTGTATTGGAATTTTAACCATATTTCCTTTCACATAAATATAAAATAAATAAATACTGACAAACTAATTAATTAATTTTTTTTTTTTAGGAAAAGGGCATCTTTCTCAAATTTACTGACCTCTTTTTTTCGGAAGTCAATTTTACTGATTTATCCTTTTCTTTCACCAAATTGAACTCCAAAGAAAATACTAATTGTCCACAAAGAAACGTGAATAAGTTTTTTAACTTTTATATCTATTTGAAAATAACAGTTTATAATAATAAATTACTTAAAATATAGCAATCAATAGCTGTTTATAATTGTTAAAGTCAAATTACGTCGATAATATAATTTTGTTTAATATAATAAATTCATGGCCAAAGCGATGTTTAAAAAAATGGTATTTATATTTTTAAAAAACTCAATTTATTTCTGAAAAATATAACAATAAAAAAGAGTCGGACTAATAAGTTTCAAGTACAATATAATAAAATAAAATAAAATAAAAAGCAAAGAAGCTTCACAGAATTTGGCAAGTAAGGGCCATCATAACCAACAAAGGTTGTTAGAGACTTTAAATTCGACCACTACTGAATATATCAGTGTAACTTTGACAAATAAAGTTTTTTTAAAAAAAATTATATATATATAATTTTATTCCTGTTTTATGAAGATAGAAAAATTATATTTTTAATAGATCATCAACTCAAGAAAATATAACTGGCCACACTGAATAAATAATAATAATAATGATAATAAAAGAAGTTAATGATGAAAATACAACACTATAAGAATAAAATTAAACTATGGCCAACTTAACAATAACTTGCAGATCAACCTGAATTATCGTATAGTTGTGAAATTGCTTCATCCTTAAAGATTTTGAGTTCGATCGAAAAAGCCTATTAGGAGGAGTACCCTCCAATGAGCCCTATAGTACGCAATTTAAATTTAGTCGAAGCTTCGATCGAGATTCCGAACTTTGGGTACCAATAAAAGCAACTTGCACCTTCTAGATTATTACACCTTCTTGATTATTATTGGTTCCAATAAAATAGTATGGTTGATAATACCCTATACTTGTTTTTAGGCTATAAATAATGATTCCCAAACACACTATATTTCTTGTACCACAACAATTACTCTTCCATCTTCCTTATCTCTTTAGCTCTTTCTTCCTTCATTCACATTTTACACATCAAGAATATTCCAAAAATATATATATTTTATATTTTTAAACACCCTTTTCTCTCCTTAACCTAATTTTTTTCCTTTTTTGGAAAAAAAATGGGAAGTGAAAAAATGATGAAAATTAATATCAAAGAATCAACACTAGTGAAACCATCAAAACCAACACCAACAAAGAGAATTTGGAGTTCTAATCTGGATTTAATTGTTGGAAGAATTCATCTTTTGACTGTTTATTTTTATAAACCAAATGGATCTTCAAGTTTCTTTGATAATAAAGTTATGAAAGAAGCATTAAGTAATGTTTTAGTTTCATTTTACCCAATGGCTGGAAGATTAGCTAGGGATGAACAAGGTAGAATTGAAGTTAATTGTAATGGTGAAGGTGTTTTATTTGTTGAGGCTGAAAGTGATTCATGTATTGATGATTTTGGTGATTTTACACCATGTTTGGAACTTAAGAAACTCATTCCTAGTGTTGAAACTTCTGGAGATATCTCAACCTTTCCACTCGCTATATTTCAGGTAAAAAGAATTTTTACGTTATCAGTATTACAATACTTTATTTATATGTTTGTGTGTATGTGTTGATAGTATTTAGATTTTTGTAGTGTTTATTTATACATGTCATCTTTCAAGTAAAATGAATTTTCATATGCGTTGATAATATAAAGATTCGTTTTTAGTGTATATTTTAAGTTAGAGGATTTTTTTATCTTCATTATATGTATGTTTATATGTTTTGATAGTATAAAGATCATGTTATTATACTAAGTAGTTATTTTTTAGGTAAAAGATTTTTTATGCTATTATTATATTACTTTATTTATATATTTATGTGTGTTGATAGTATAAAGATCTTTTTTTAAGATTAGTATTATTATGTTTTTACATGTTGTTTATGATTGTTTGTTTTATTTTCTAGGTTATTAATTTTATTTATTAAGGATATTTAGCTACTTGTAGAAGGGGTGGATATTGTAAGATAAAATTCATTTGAACTAAAGAGCTTGAATTCAAATCTCGAAGGATAGGTTAATTTTTTAATTTATAAATAAGAATTTTCAATTGATTAAATCAGTTGAGTTGTGGTAGAAAATCGAATTTAATCTTATGTAGTTTGAATTTAAAATCCATCACTATTTGTAGTTATATTTTTTTAAAAAAAATTATACCATTATTGTATATAAAATTTAATGATCTAGGGAAAAAAAATGCATTTCACTAGAAATTTTACTTAAAATGAAGAGGAAATATGGGGACCTATATTTTCTTCTTATTCAACTAAAAAAGTTAGACAATAATTTAATTTTAGGGCAAGTCGGTTTAACTTCTTTTTAAAAAAGTCGAAATCGAAAGAGGTAGAAAAAATGACACGTGCCTAATTTTTTAAAAATAAATCAGTATTAACACATATCACTTTGAGAAATTAACAAAAAAAAAAAGAAGAAAATACTATTATAATTAGATTGAACAGTACTCTCTCCGTCCATTTTATATGTTATCCTTTTCTATAAATAGTTGGATCACAATACTTATTATTTTATAAAATTTATGCATAAATTACCATATTTTGCCTATTATACCCTTCATAAAATAGTTAATTAATCTTGTCATTTATTAATAAAGTTGACTTAAGAAAACATTAAATAAGAGTAGAAGGGTAAAGTTACATCATTTCTTAATGTAAGTGCAAAGTAAAAAAGTGACATATAAAATGGAACGAAAGGAGTATTTTATATTCAGAGTGCCTAGATCCAATAATAGTAATATTTAATTCTTGACAGCTATCAATTTATCAAGATGGTTTATCTTCCAAAAACCTACCTAAACTAGTACTTTATTCATTCAAAAATTAGTTGTTATACTTTTTCAAATTAAGTTGATGGACCACAATACTTGTCATTTTATAAAATTTATGCATAAATTACCATATTTTGCCTATTATACCCTTCATAAAATAGTTAATTAATCTTGTCATTTATTAATAAAGTTGACTTAAGAAAACATTAAATAAGAGTAGAAGGGTAAAGTTACATCATTTCTTAATGTAAGTGCAAAGTAAAAAAGTGACATATAAAATGGAACGAAAGGAGTATTTTATATTCAGAGTGCCTAGATCCAATAATAGTAATATTTAATTCTTGACAGCTATCAATTTATCAAGATGGTTTATCTTCCAAAAACCTACCTAAACTAGTACTTTATTCATTCAAAAATTAGTTGTTATACTTTTTCAAATTAAGTTGACTCAATTTTAAATTAAATCAAATTAATTTATCTACTATATTAAAATATAAATATTTAAAATTATACGAAAAGTACAACTTTAAATTATAAAGTTAGATACGTTTTAAAATATTGATCTAACCATTGTCACATCAAGCTGAATTACATATTTAATTAATTTAGGAGAACAATAGAAATTTTTTGATAGTTAGGTACATTAATTAATATAGGAAGAGAAAAAATAATCTAAAAAATTCTAGTATGAATAATTTTTTTAAATAATATTAAGAGATGGAAGAATGTAACAAACCATAAATTAGTGCTTATCTTACTCTTTTAACAATTGCTTTACCTATTTCTTTTTTAGCTTAAAAGAACAAGAACCATTATTTGATTAAGTATCTGATGAAATAATCTAAGTCACGCAAATTGATTCGAATATCATAATTTTAAAAATGAAATAATATCATAAATTCTAACAACAACTGGTGTAGTTGGTAGGCCATACTTGTTTTAAAAAAACTCATACTCCCTCCGTCCCATTTTATATGATGTACTTTGATTTGACACAAACTTTAAGAAAAATGGAAAGACTTTTAAAACTTGTGGTCCAAAATAAATGATAGAAATTTGTGTGGTTGTAAATCATTTCATTAAGGGTAAAAAAGACATTTTATAGGCAAATTGTTACTTTTATATGATGTACTTTGATTTGGCACAAACTTTAAGAAAAATGGAAAGACTTTTAAAACTTGTGGTCCAAAATGAATGATAGAAATTTGTGTGGTTGTAAATCATTTCATTAAGGGTAAAAAAGACATTTTATAGGCAAATTGTTACTTAAAATAGAAATGTGTCATTCTTTTTGGGACTGACTAAAAAGGAAAGTAAGTCATATAAATTGGGACAGAGGGAGTACTTTTTTTCTGAAAGTGTGCACGTGAATGCATTAATAATAAATAGATAAACTTTGAAGTTCAACAAGTCACCCTTCCTTAGCAAATTGGTCAATAGAGTAATATTGTAAGTGATGTATTCCAACTTTAATGTCTATATAGTTTTTTTATTTAATATACTGATAGTGTAAAAAATATTTATAGGTTACTCGTTTCAAGTGTGGTGGAATCGCTCTTGGTGGTGGAGTATTCCACACGTTATCCGATGGTCTCTCATCCCTCCACTTCATCAACACGTGGTCGGACATCGCCCGTGGCCTCTCCGTCGCAGTCCCCCCATTCATCGACCGGACGCTCCTCCATGCACGGGACCCACCAACATCTTCTTTCGAGCATGTTGAGTATCATCCCCCACCTACCCTCATCTCATCAAAAAAAGGTGAGTCCACAGGCCCAAAGTCTAGTACCACGGCCATGTTGAAATTCTCAAGTGAACAAGTCGGACTTCTTAAGTCTAAGTCCGAAAACGAGGGCAGCACTTATGAAATCCTCGCGGCCCATATTTGGCGATGCACGAGCAAGGCACGTGGATTGGCAGATGATCAATTGACCAAATTACATGTGGCCACTGACGGTAGGTCAAGGCTTTGCCCTCCCTTGCCACCGGGTTACCTAGGAAATGTGGTGTTCACGGCCACACCAATAGCTAAATCATGTGAACTTCAATCAGAGCCGTTGAGGAATTCCGTTAAGAGAATTCACAATGAGTTGATCAAAATGGACGATAATTACCTAAGATCAGCGTTGGATTACCTCGAATTACAACCTGATTTATCGACCCTAATCCGGGGCCCGACTTACTTTACTAGCCCTAACCTCAATATTAATAGTTGGACTAGGTTGCCTGTCCATGAGTGTGATTTTGGATGGGGTAGGCCAATTCATATGGGACCAGCTTGCATTTTATATGAAGGGACAATATATATTATACCAAGTCCAAATACAAAAGATAGGAACTTGCGTTTGGCTGTTTGTCTAGATCCTGATCACATGCCACTATTTGAAAAGTATTTGTATGAATTTTGAGATATTTTTCATATGGAAAAAAGTCAAGAATGTACAACACAAATTGTGGTGTGATTTAGTTCAAGTCCTTTTTTTTTTAGTTTTGAGATATTTTCCAAATTCTTTATTAGGAATTTGATTGTGTAATTGATAATGTCTTATTAAGCTAAATCTCCATATTTCCTTTGTGATTATACCTAGTTTTCAATTGATTGGCTATTGTGGCAATTATCTATGGAAAACTTTTCTTTATATGATTTAACTTATATATATTCATATTCAATTATATTTTACGCTATCAAATCACTTAAAATGCAATTAAAAATAAGAATTAATTTACTAACCTAAAAGTATAATACAAGTACAACTTGTTTTTACATTTTCATGTGGTAGGTAGGAATGTGGCAAAATAGTATATTCTATCCTTTTCAGATCTTACATATTAGATATATCATATTAATTGTGTTGGTATTTGTAGACATTGAAATTTTATGGAACTCTACAAGACATTTTCAATTTGAGTTGGGACTATACAAAGTGTGTTCAATTTCAATTAAAATTCGTGGAGGTTATTCAACATTAAACCCTAGTTCGTGCCTATATAAAGGGTACTATATTCCCTTGAAAAGGCATCTCGAAAATTCCACCACAAATTCATGGAATATTCATACAGAGATCAAAATCTCAAATATTTCGCAAATTCATGAAATATTAATAAAGAGATCAAATTCAAATCATCTTAATTCAAGAAATATGCCACTAACGGTCCTCGAATTATGAAGATCAAGTCCAAATCATCCTAGTTCGAGAAATACGCCACTAACGACCCTCGAGTTATGAAAATCAAGTATAAACATCCAAATTTGAGAAATATGCAATCCAAATCATCCTAGTTCGAGGAACAGAATTGTCCTCGCAATCTTGATCAATAAAACTATGTTTCTTCCTATTTAATTTGTGATTGGAATTCATTTCCTGTCACTTTAAAATTTGTTCAAACAATATTATATAAAATGTAGTAGTTTTTGTTTGAGAAATTAAGATAGAACTTTGATATGTCACTTCCAAATAATGCCCTATATATAACAACAAACCTAACAAATAGTTGATTGAACTTTGAATAGATGTTTTGGTACAATAACGTGTAGATCATATGACAGTTGAGATAGATACAATTTCTTTCATTCTTATAATAAAGATCTTGGATTCGAATTTTAATCACGAAGTATGAAAAAAATTCAATAGAAAACATTTCTTTGCTGTTTTAATGGGTCTTACACCGTATAAATATTATTATTTAGTTTCTCAAGGCAGAAACTAGACATCAAATGGAAAAAGAAGGCTCTTGCTATGTTCCTATCAACATTTACTTTATAGTGTGATGAATAACACTTTTCATATCTTGGTAGATAATACTTTCTTTTTTAATGAGTCTTTTACACCATAAATTTGAATTTACTGAGAGCTACAAGTATTTCCTTTGTTTATAAAAGAATAAAGTAATTTGACTTGACATGAAGTTTAAGGAAATAAAAAAGAATTTTTAATTTTGTAATTCTAAATTAAAATTATGTTAAATGTATCAAAATATCTTTTAATTTTATGACTTTAAACATGTCACATGAAAAAATTGAAATGAAAGCATTACCAAAAAAAAATTATTCTTTTTAAAATAAATTAAAAATCAAAGTAAGTCATTATTTTTTAAACAAAAAGTACTAGCCAAAAAAAAAGCTTCCTAAATTATTTTCAACAGTTATTCTAGTAGATAGGACTTATATTGTCTCTGTAGCCCACAAAAGTCAATAGAAGACAGCTCATTTTGTTCCAATATTTAAGCATAGTGAAAGCAAAAAAAAACACGAAGGATCAAGATAAATCATCATTACTAAAAACAATAGGGTAAAAAACCTAAATATATCACTTAGAATTTGTTGTTGAGAAAAATCTATTTTTGTTTTAAAAAAATGGAGTAACCAAATTGGTCAATACTTTTTCTAGCTAGTTCTTGGAAAGCGGTGATAAATAAAATTCAAACTTTATAGAGTGGTTAATATTTTTTTATCCTTAATTAAATGTTTTAATTTCGAGTTTTCTGAGTACATAATCGCCTTTGTTAGGGAGTATTTTACCCCTAATATGGGACTTTCTGAAGTGCATCCAAATTTAATCAGATTCCAATGTAGATACTAAACACCGAATCGAATGAGAAACCAAAAAAAAATCATCATTACTATGAAATTCTAACTTAAATTTGTTGTTGAGAAAAAAACATTTTTATGTTAGGTAGGTTTTTTTAGTTATCTCTTTGAAAATTTCCTTAAATATAGGATGCTAAATTTTCATGTTACCTTATATAAGGACACGACTTCTTGTTGGAATCATCTTTACTCCTCATTTAAACTATTTTACATATATTTGATTTTACATGCCCAAAGTCCTTTTAATCTTTTACTTTTATGGGTCACATGTGTAACATAAATTGCCATAGTGAAAATAGAATCACTCGATAACAAGTTAAATAATAATTAGAATTAATTTAATTAAGCTTTAGCAAGTAAAAAGTATTTGACCAACATAAAATATGATTATGATGAAATAATCGAGATCTCTTCTTCTTTTATCATTAGTTTTAAGTTCAAGCCATGAAAAAGAAAAAAATTAGATTGTTCTTGCAAAGAAAAGTCTACTTACTTGCTCTTGCTGCTTTTAATTTAAGAGCAAGTCGGTCTAGCTTTTTACTCTTTCACCTTTCCCATTTTGTCAGTTTAAGTACTGGAATGAGAGTTACAGATATTCATTCCTACGATATGTTTGGCTAACTACGATGGAATAGAGCCATTCTACATAGAATCTCTTGGGCTTTGACCTGCTTTCCTTCGCTTACCGGAGAGCGGATTCTTTATTACTGACTTTTCGCGATTGATCGCACCTCGTACGCCTGCTTTAGCTCGTAGTTTCACTCTTGCTTTTCACAAATTTAGTTGATTTGGCCTCTCTTTCCTCTTTTACCTCTCAAGTTTTTTTGCTATTAACTTTTGCTAAATTAGGCATAAAAGATGGTGATTTCATTTCAAGTTAAAATAGGTGTTAAAGGGGAAAATAAAATACTTCTAAGCATTTGGTTTTAAAGGTAAAATAAATGTAAATTTTTAACTTATGGCTTATAAGTTACAAGTCAAAAATGAATTCAAACAAGCTCTTAATATAGTCTTTTTTAATTTTATTTTTGTAAAATAAAAAAAAGTATTTTCAGAAGATACTCTACTTAAAGAAAAATATCTCTAATGCTAAAAACATACTCCCTTTGTTCCTATTTATACGCTACTATTTTAAATTTCATGTCCCTTAAGAAATTAGGTAAAAATTAATCATTGTATCCTTATTTTTAATGTTTTCTTAAAGTCAAGTTTTCAATTAGTGAACATGAATTAATTTGACCAATGGAAATGAATTATTTACTTAGTTTTTCCATATTGATCAAATATATATTTTCAAGGCCAATAACTCTCAAAAGTAAAATAGGAAGAATAGTGTCATTATGCATTGATTTTGTAAAATAACAAATATTAAGGACTATCTATTTTTCATAAAAACGATATATAAATAGAAACTGAGGAAGTATATCTATTAGTGAAAGTCACTTTTCATCATTAACTAATTAATTATTAATTAAAAAAGTGAGGTTTCATAAATATTTTTGTCTATCAACATCGATTTTGGAATATATTGGAGGTGTGTTGTACATTCAATTTCCATTTTCCTCGACATTGGTGGAAACGTGCCACACAGCAATCAATCAATAAGGCTAGGACGCACCTCTTTATTGACTTGCCTATTTTGTTTGAGAGTGTGTTTGAAAATTTCAACCTTTTTTGTCGATATTTCTATTTTATGTTAAGGATATATTTAGAATTTAAATATCTATGCATTAAAGATATTTTACAAATGTTTATTCATAGATATTTAGTTCCATGTCAATAAAAATTATTTGCCAAATAAGTGAAATTCAATATGAATAGAAAGTTGATAACGTTATTCATAAAATATGTCTCTTGAAACTGATAAAAAAAATGTATCACATAAATTGAGTAGAAAAACCAAATGACTACTTTTAGTATAATTTGTTAAGCTCATACTAACACGAGGCTTTGCATCTAGTCTAATAATATCTTTCACCTTCAATTCAAACTCTCTCTATATATAGTAGTATTAATGGATCGTTTGATGTGAGGAATAAAAATAAATAATTTAGAGATAATAAAAAAAAATAGCAACTTACATAAATTCCGCTAATTTAATACCTAAAAATGGAACTCATATTACAATCTTTACTAATTTTCATTAATTAATAATTCCAAGTGAGGTTTCATAATTTTGTCTATTGACATTAATTGACTTTGGGGATTTCTTGGAGGTGTGTTGTCCATTCAATTTCCTCATCATACATGTGGTGGAATATGTCTTAACAACAAGTATGTACTTCTTTATTAATGTGTCTACTGTATATCGAAGGTATCTTGAAATTTCAAACCTCTTCATTAAGGTGTATGTTTCATATTAAAGATTTTCTGAAATTTTAATGTACTTTTTTGCTTATAATTTGGTCCTACGTCAATAAAAAACTTTTTTGCTAAATAAGTAAAACACAACATGGGTGACATCACTAAACATTTATAAGAAATGTGTTTTTTAGGTTAACTAAAAGAAAGATGTATTGTATAAATTGAACAGTAAAAACACATAAAATCATTCTTAGTATGATTTGTTCAGATCATGCTGACACGGGACTTTGCATCTTCCACAACAATAAGTATCAAATAACTCTATCTACCAAGACAAAAAGATATAAAAAAAATAACCTAGTGTTTTGTTGTCTTCTACGACATTTAAACTTAAGACCTCATGAAGTTTAACCCAAAATACACCCTTGGGTGCCTCTGACCAAACTATTAAAGCAACTTTGGTTTTCCCTTAGCACTAGCCACCTATGGTGATCTTTTATCCAAGCCATTAACCACCTTGACAAAGAGAAACACACAATGCCTTGTCAAGGATGTAGTGACAGATTCGAGATTTAAATACTGAGCTTTTATCCAAGCTAACAACCACCATGGTGAAGATACAGTAGCGAATTCAAGATTTATATATCAAGAATTATTGTTTAAATATAGTTTCTAAAATATCTATTATACCCTAGATTTTATATTTG